CCATTTTCAAGCGAGGAAATGAATCCTCAGAAAGTTCATAAATTAGCTCAGTGGGAACTTAATTTTCTTCCTTACTATTTACCACTTAAAACAGAGGAATTAGGGGGTCTATAAGATCATTTTCATTTCTGTGCTGTCTCTTGTCGACTGAAAGAAAATGCACAACCTAGGGGACTTAGGCCTTGGGATATAGCCTCTCAGATAGCTGAGGGACTGTTCTGAAGAGGTAAGGGAGGAGCCAGGATATGTAGGAGTTTTTGCAAAAACAAAACAAAACAGAGCTTCCCTGGTGGCGCAGTGGTTAAGAGTCCGCCTGCCAATGCAGGGACACGGGTTCGAGCCCTGGCCTGGGAAGATCCCACATGCCGTGGAGCAACTAAGCCCGTGCACCACAACTACTGAGCCTGAGCTCTAGAGCCCACAAGCCATAGCTACTGAGCCCACGTGTCACAACTACTGAGGCCTGCGCACCTGGAGCCTGTGCTCCGCAACAAGAGAAGCCACGACAGTGAGAAGCCCGCTCACTGCAGCAGAGTAGCCCCCGCTCGCCACAACTAAAGAAAGCCCGTGCACAGCAATGAAGACCCAACACAGCCATAAATAAATAAATAAATTTATAAAAAACAAAACAAAACATAAAAACAACCCAGGTAGTCGGAACATCAATTACTGCTAATTAAAGAAAACCAGACATCTCAAGTTAATGAATTTAGCACTTTTCAGTGTATAGGAAGATGCAAGAGTCTGGGTTTATTGAAATTATTCCTTTGATGTGCACCTGAACCATCTAGAGCCAGTATCCTGTTTTTCTCCATCCTGAATTCCCTTCAGTGTGCACCAGCGCAGTCCGCTGCCATGGCTGATGGCTTGATCCTTTGTTTACTGAAATGGCAGGCAACATTCTTTGTCCACACTCTTATGGTATCCACAAGCTACTAGTGGCTATTTAAATGGAATTTTAATCAAAATAATACAATTAAAATTAGTCCTTTAGTTGCTTTAGCTGCATTTCAAGTGCTGAATAGTCACGTGTTAGTGACTGCTGTATTGGACAGTTCAGATATTTCTTTCCATCAGTGCAGAAAGTTCTCTAGAACAGCTATATTTTAGATAGTCTCCAATTACGTTGCAATTTCAAGGGATTTTTCCAATCAGTTGCAAAAAACAAAACTAATAACCAGGGTACACGATCTCTGGTCGTGTTCCATATCAATCCTTACCTGTAAGGGAGATGATATATTGGCATTGTTCATAAGGCACCCAGCCCAATTTTCTAGTGTTACTAGGCTGGGTATCCTTAGTATGCTTTTATTGTTTCTAACATAAAGGAGCCTTTAAACTTAAATGACCATAGCCTGGTGTTAACCACATAAATCCATCCTGTAACTGAGGAGGTTTTCGACTGTGATTCAGTTGGTGGTTCTGATGGAGCTTGAGTGACCCTAAAAGAAAAATTCATATTTATGGCCAGGGTCAGAGCAGGTATTATTAGCTGGCCAAGTGAGGGAGTCCCCTCTAGTAATATCAATTGTGGCCTAAGGGCCTTCCAATGAGAGCCCTGGAGTGGAGAAATCCACCAAGGTAACCCAGAAGTACTGGATATAGGTAATTGACCACAAACCTAACAATTGGATTAACTTTAACTCTGCATAAGTTTGTGAAATACAGTGCTGTTTTCCACAGTGGCTGCACCAACTTACCTTCCCTCAAGCGGTAAGGACAGATGTTAATCAGTATTATAATGTAGTAGGGAAGAGTGTCCAGCATGAACTGAACTCAACTTGGATTTGTACAGAGGTGACTGGATGTTTTAAAGGGAAGTTGAGGGAGTAGGCAGGGGGAATGGAGGGGCTTGGGTAGAGTCAGGGGAAAATTATAAAGGCCTGGTGAGTGTAAATGCCCATCAGGGCTATAAAGAGACTGGGAGACAGAGGTCCTATCCTATCTGATAATTACATTTCAAAGGAATGGCTTTCAGGTCCTTGAGAAAGAAAGACTCAGGTCCTGAGTTGTAGGAGATACATATATATTGCAAATGGACAGAGGAAGAATTCACAAATTTTAAGTCCTTTTTTAGTAAATGCTCTAAGAAAGGGTAGTAAAGGACCTCTTGTCAGGTGTTGGCTAGAACAAATAGTAAATTCTTCTGGCAGCCTGGAGCTCATTAAGGGGGAAATAAGGTCATCCTAGTGATACAGCCTTAAGCTATTAGAAACTATGTTAGTGTTTAAGTCTTTTAACGTGGAGGTTGGTGGGGGAGTGGATGAAATCATTGGTGCTGAGTCAGTAGGTTTTATAGGCCCAGGCTGAGGCCTAACTGAAAAGAGGGCTTGGAAGAGATTGGCTAGAGCTTGGTCAAGAAGAGAATCTTTGTCAATTCCCCTCTAGAAAATGGGAGTATACATGATTTTTCTCCCTCATAAAGGGAAAATACCTGTTTTATCTACCCCTTTTCTTCTGTCTTGAATGCATTTGTAATGAGAATGTGATGCCTGGAGCTGCAGCAACTATCTTGAGACCATAAGGAAACAAACTAAGAGGTTAGCCAACTCCCTAAGGATGGTATTGTGGAAAATTAGGAAGAGCTTTGATTTTTAATGACATCAGTGACTCATGGGTCCAAATCTGGAACCATCTATTTCCAGCCCCCCTTTGCTTTTCAATAAACTTTAAATTTTAGAATGGATTTACTGAAAAGTTGCAAATGCAGTACTGAAAATTCCCATATACTCCACATCAAATTTCCCCTATTATTAACATCTGACTATTGAAACTGAGTGGGACACTGTGAGGCACTCTCACGTACAAAAGCTCCTCCATGTCCCCAGTTTCTTGTTTGTAGTAAAAGGTTTTAGTCTCCTAGGTCTTCCCTGGGTTCCAAGGAGCAGGCACATGCAGTTACTAATTAGGGAAGTGAGGGAATGCAGAAAGAAAGGAAAAGCAGTTAAATAAGAAAACTAACGCCAATAGTTCAGTGATAAAACAGAGTCCTAGTTCTCCCCAAGGTATGTACGTAACAACTTGATGGATATCTTTGAATTGTTCTTTGGGAACTAAGACCTCATCCCCACCCCCAGAGGTGGAGGATGGTGACTACATGCTGAGCACAAGCACCAGACCTCAGACTGGCTGGAACCACAAAGCTGATGACTAAGATTCCTGAAACACCACTCTGTTACCTCACCACCAAACAATCGGAAGAAAGTCATGAACTCTGCAGCCCTCACCATCAAATGTTGCCTTTAAAAACGCTCCCCTGGAAACCATTGAGGAGTTCAGGTCTTCTGAGCATGAGCTGTCTGTACTCCTTGCTGGACCCTGCAATAAATGCTGTACTTTCCTTCACAACTTGTCAGAAATTGGTTTTGCTGTGGGCGAGTGGACCTAAGTTCAGTTTGGTAACAAACACTATGATGGTACATTTGTTATAACTAAGAAATAACCCTGGAACAGTATTAACTAAGCTCTATGCTTTATGCGGCTTTCACTAGTTTTTCCCTCTAATATCCCTTTTCTAGTCCAAGGTTCTCTCCAGAATACCACATTACATTTAACTGTCATGTCTCCTTAGTTTCCTCTGGTTTATGACAGATTCTCAGAGTTTACTTGCTTTTCACAAGCTTTGACAGCTTTGAGGAGTACAGTCGTCCCTTGTTATCCAGGACCCCCCATGGATACGAACAACCTGGGATGCTCAAATTCCTCAAATAAAATAGTCTACTATTTGCATATAACCTAGGTACATTCTCCCATATACTTTAAATTATCCCTAGATTACTTATAATGCCTAATACAATGTAACTGCTATGTAAGTAGTTGCAGGTGTGTGGCAAGTTCAAGTTTTGCTTTTTGGAACTTGCTGAAATTTTTTTTCCTAATATTTTTGGACTTGCAGTTGGTTGAATCCACAGATGTGGATACAGAGGGCCGGTTGCACTGGTCAGGTGTTTGTGGGTTTGTCTCATGTTATTCTCAAGGAAGAACTGTTACTGAGTCCAAGCTTGTACCGCTTGGTGCAGGACAGGTCAATGAATTGAGACACGAGGTGTTGAGGCAAGGAATAGTGACGATTTGGAAAGCCAGCAGACGGAGAAGCTGGCGGACTAGTGTCCTAAGGAACCATCTTACCTGAGTTAGAATTCAGGCTTCTTTTATACCAAAAGGGGAGGGGTTGTGGCTGGTTGTTGCAGATCCCTTGGTACTGGCCAGACTCAGAGGGGTGTGATAATCCTTTGTTCTTGCAGCCGTCCACGGTTGGTCTGGTCATGATGTTCTCGTAAACCTTCAACAAGTTCTGCAACTTTTTAACCTCTATACAAATGAAAAGTGTTAAGCCTTTAAAATGCAAGCCTGGGAGGCAGAGCCTTGTGGAAGGACTATGATGTGTATTTCAGGCTGTGGACAACGTTCTTTCTCCGTTTGGTAACACAAAGGTGCAGAGCCAGCATGACTAAGCACAGGCAACAACACAACCGTTAGAGTTAAAGGAATAGATCCAATATAGAGCCAGGTTGTTCTTCTGTGTTACAGAACTAGGGTTATGGGTTTTGGAGAGTAACATCTCCAAATGTTAGGTGAAGTACCCTTCCTATAGCTGGGAACTTCGCAATCAACATAACTTATTACTGATATGCTAACCCTTATCACTTGGCCAAGGCAGTGTCTGCCAAGTTTCTCCACTGTAAAGTTACCTTTCCCTCCTTTCCATGCTGGGCTGTCTTGGAAGCAAGAGATAATCAAGGTGGGGTGGGTGGGGCAGAGATTGAGCCCCATCTCCTGTAGGGAGGCGTATTTACATAAACGACTGTTAGGCTGATCCTGGGACACGTCCGCCAACAGGGACAGCAGGGTGAAGTGGGGCTGGGCTGCCCTGCAACGGGTTCAGGGCGGACTGCGACCCGAGGCAGGGCGGGGTCGAGGCAACTTCGGGCAGGAAGTGGGGGAAGGTCCGGGATTGCGAGGCCCAGAGGCGAGGCGGAAGCTGGCGGGCCAAGGCGCGGGGAGGAGTCTGCTCTGGGGTGCGCGCACTTGGCGGTTCCTTCCCTGGTGGTACGGAAGGACTGCGTAGGTCGGCTTTTCAGAGCGCAGTTCCCCGTCCACGGACCACAGGGTTTTCTTCCCCCCGGCGCCCCGGTCCAGCTTTGGAGCGCTCTGACCCCAGCCGGTTTTGGCGGTGGCGCCTCCGGAACACAATGCGCATGCGCACGCCGAGAGGCTGAGGCCCGCGGCGGAAAGAGGGCTCCGCCTGGCGACTGAGGGCGTGGGTCAGTTTGGACTCGAGGCGGGCCTGGCGGCGCTCTATCCCTCCCCCTGCTGCTGCTGCTCGCTTCTTCAACTCGCGAGCATCTGGCGCGCTGTTCTGGGTTTCCACGTGGGCCCGCCCACCGCCGTCTTGAAGCTGTGCCAAGGTGAGCGGGTCGACTTCCGGGGCTGGGCCTACCGTTGCCCAGGTAACGGGAACCTGCTCCTGCCGGAGCTTTCCATAGATTTTAATTTTGGGGGGTCAAAAAGAGAGCTGGGTTCGGATGGCCTACCCCCGCCAGGCCTGGCATGATGCTGCTCATTACAGTACCCACCCACCCCCACCCCCCGTTATCTGGGAATCGTTCATTTAGCGAATGTCGACCCGAGAAGCCGCTGTGCAGGCGCGAAGGACCCTAAGGTCGGGTGTTTGTAACTGGTCGGGGTCTGAGCTCGCCCCCTGCCCAGCCAACCCGGCGGCCGGAAAACGGAGGGGGCTGGGGAGGGGCGGGGTGTGTCGCAGCTGTGGGGCGGCCTCACGTCTAGGGGCTGAGGACTGGGGGCGAGGACAGTGCAGCCAGCTGTGCTGTCGCCTTGGCGCCACGTGCACAGCTCGCTCGCCGGACCCCGGGACCCGCGCGCGGCCGGGCCGGGGGTCAGTGTGGACGCGTCTCGGCCCGTGAGCGGGCGGGGCGCTGGGGACCCGGAGGGGACGAGCCGCCGGTGGCCCTGGGACCGGACTTGCCAACTTCGGGTCGATCAAATAGTGAACCTTCGAGTGCTAGGGTGGGATAGTAATAGAGCTTGGAGTTCGTGTCTTGTTATTAATTTCAGTTCGGTAGCTTTTAGTGGTTTTTAAAAAAACAGTGGTATGGTTAAAATGCACATATATATGCAGTTAAGTAATATTCATATTATGTCACTTATGTACTCATACATACATAAGGCACAGACTAGGAGGATACAGAAGTAATAGTAAAAGTCCCCTCCCCGTGCATATTTTTTAATATCCTTCCTTAAAGCCTCTTGTTTTATAAACATAAAATGTGCACAGTATCAAACTCATAAGGGATCATTGAATTTGTTCTGCAACTTTAGTTTTTCATGTAATATATCTTGGACATTTTTGCATCTTAGCGTATACTTACTATTAATGGCTTCATATAGTAGGCCACTCCATTATCTGATCATGCTGGTGTGTTTAATAGATTTCATTTTTATATTTCCGAGGAAGTAACGTATAGAAACTGTGGTCATTTTAGATTTTCTTATCTCTTTGTTTTGTCTGTTCTCTTGGCTCTCATTTTCTCCCTAATCTGTGGCAAACCCCCGCTTAGTTTATATTTATTTCAGGATGCTGGTTTTAAGGACAAATCATTATTTACTTCACGCTGAAAGGGGATTTGGTTTTTTTCTCTAAGACTTCCTAGCAGATGGGGGCTTCAGGACTACTGTTTATTCAAAGTACAGATAGGTTGGTGCTTAGTAAGTGTTGATTATCGTTGATGTACACGTCACCAAAGCACACAATTATGAAATCAGTTATGAGGATTTCTATGATTAATCAGCATGTAATAGGACCTCAAGATAAAACTGTTTTAGAGGGACCAATATAATGGGCATTCCATTACTGCGCATGATTTAGGTCAGAGTATAAACAATTTGTATACAAAAACACTTTAGGGAAATGGTTTACTAAATAGTTACATTTGTATATTTAAATCTTTATAGGTACAATCAACAGTGATTATCATACAGCTGGAAGAAAGGCAGAGATAATGCTTTTTATTTTAGATTGGGCAATTAAGCAGAAACTGCAGTTTTAGTATGAAGAACGGAGGTGGAAGAACAAGCCGAATCAGAAGACGAAAACTCTTCACAAGTTCTGAATCAAGAGGAGGTACAGTTTTGATTCTTTTGGTGCCAGTGATGAAAAAAAGGAATCCTTTGTTGATTGCTATTAACACATAGCTTTTCTCAGAGGCACACGAGCAATGTTAAATTTATTTATTTTTTATTTATTTATTTTTGGCTGCGTTGGGTCTTCGTTGCAGCGCGTGGGCTAGTTGCGGCGGAGCGTGGCTTCTCACTGCAGTGGCTTCTCTTGTTGCGGAGCATGGGCTCTAGGCACGCGGGCTTCAGTAGTTGTGGCTCGCGGGCTCAGAGTGCAGGCTCAGTAGTTGTGGTGCACGGGCTTAGTTACTCCGCGGCATGTGGGATCTTTCCGGGCCGGGGCACGAACCCTTGTCCCCTGCATTGGCAGGCGGATTCTTAACCACTGCGCCACCAGGGAAGCCCATGAGCAGTGTTCATAGAGAATACTTCTTAAAGAATATTCTTTTAAATAATGCCATTATAGTCTTTTAAACCCTTGTAGAAATACAGATATATTGCTTCAACTATGTCTTCTTTGGGGATGACTCCTAGGTTTCTGTTTCTGGTCCTGACCTCTCTGCTGACCTCTAGCTACCTAAAGGATTTTAATATTTGGATGTAAATTTATCACTTCAAGTTCAGTGTAACCCAGTCTGAACGAGATACCGTATGTGAAAGTGCTTGGACCACTGGAGAGTACTACATAAATGCAGTTGTTATTTTTCATAAAAATTAATAGCACTCCTCCTAGCTGACCCCCAGCATGTCAGCACCGTGGAGGTAATCTTTGACCACGTATCCTTCTTTGCTCTCTGGAGCCCATGTCCTACTGACTCTCACCTGGCCTTTCTTAGGTTCACTTCTCCCTCTCTGTTCTACCCAGAGATGACTTCAGCCACATTCTTGTTTTCTTCCCTGCTGGTTGTTCCATTTGTCACTGTCAGTCTAACTTTCTTAAGGGATGTAGCCTTTTTGGTATAGGAGCCTCTAGGATCCTCATTCTCTCTCTCTCTCTCTTTTTTTTTTGGGCTGTGCCACACGGCATGCAGGATCTTCCCCAGCCAGGGATTGAACCCGTGCCCCCTGCATTGGGAGCACAGAGTTTTAACTACTGGACCGCCAGGGAAGTCCCCCTCATTCTTTTTTGTGTGCTCTCTGAATTCCTGCCTGACATCAACTGCCTTTCTAAGTGGCTTCCCCGCCCCACTCCCTGTGTTGGCAGTATGTTCTCCGCTCACCATTTCCTGAGCACACCTCCCACATTTCCACCTCTGCCATTCCTCAAGGTCCTTCTTCAGCCAAAACATCGTTCTTCCCTTCTCCCTGCTTGTTCAGTTTCTCTCTAACCTTCGGGGCAGAGTTGAGATCTTATGTTTTTGGTAATGCCATTTCCAGTTCTCACTAATGTCACTGGGTTATCATGCTTATTGGGTATTATTCTTTAGGAGCTATGGTTTTCCAGTTGTTTTTCATGGAAGTCTTGTTTCCCCAACTAAAATGTTAACTTTTTGAGGGTGAGGAACATGTTGAATGCTCTCCACAGTGGTTAATAGTGCTGGGAGTGTAGTAGTTGCTTATTAAATGTTCTTGCTGTAAACTCTGTTCTCTAGGTTGTGATAACGTATTTTAGCAGCCTTAGATTTTGGATCATGTATTTTTTTAGAAAACACTTTCATTGAAGTATAATTGACATACAATGAATGTCACATATTTAAAGTGTATAATCTGATAGATTTTGACGTATGTATACACACAGTAAGCCATTATCGAAATCAAGGTATGAACATATTCATCACCCCAAGAAGTTTCCTTGTTTCCCTTTGTAATCCTTTCCTCTTGTGCTCTTTGAACCCCCGCCCCCGCCTCCATCTTCAGACAGCCACTGATCTGATTCCTTTCACTATTGATTTGTTTGTTTTATAGTTTTCTTTAATCATATAGTATGCATTCTTTTTTATCTGCCTTCTTTTACTCAGCATAATTATTTCGAGATAATTCTCTGTTGTGTGTATCAACAGGTTATTCTTTTTTATTGCTGATAATATTCCATGATTTGTTTACTTCAATTGTTCCAGCAATATTTATTGAAAAAACTATCCTTTCTCCTCGGAATTGCCTTTGCATTTTGTGAAAAGCCAGTTATCCACATATGTGTGGGTCTGTTTTAGACTTTCTTTTCTGTTCCATCGATTTTGTTGTCTGTCTTGATGACAGTATCACACAGTCTTAGTTACTGTAGCTTTATAGTAATAAAAAGTTTTGAAATCAATATTTTGAAGTGGTCTTGGCTATTCTAGGTTCTTTGCATTTCCATATGAATTTTAGAATCTTGTCAATTTCTACAAAAAAGCCTGCTTACATTTTGATTTGGATTGTATTGAATCTATAGATCAATCTGGGGAGAACTTGACTTCTTAACAAGTATTGAATCTTCCAACCCATAAGCAAGATGTATCTCTCCATTTGTTCAGATTATTGATTTGAGATCTTAAAAAAATTTTTAATTGTAGTAAAATTACATGTAACATAAAATTTACCATTTTAACAATTTTTAAGTGTAGTTCAGTAGTGTTCAGTACATTCACATTATTGTACAACCAGTCTCCGGAATTCTCTTCATCTTGCAAAACTGGAACTCTATACCCATTAAATAATAACTCCTCATTCCCCTCTCCCCCTAGCCCCTGGCAGCTACCACTCTACTTTTTGTTTCCATGAACTTGGCTATTCTAGATACCTCATGTAAGTGGAATCATACAGTATTTGTCTTTTTGTGAATGGCTTATTTCACTTTCAATAATGCCCTGAGGATTCATCTATAAAGCATGTGTCAGCAGGATTGGTTCCTTCTGAGAGCTGTGAGAGAAGGGTCTGTTCTAGGCCTCTCTTTTTGGCTTTGTCATTGGCTGTCTTCTCCCTGTGTTTCTTCCATCATCTTCCCTCTGTTCTTGTGTCAAAATTTCCCTTATTATAAGGACATCAGTCGTACTGGATCCAGGTCCACCCTGATGACCTCATTTTAACTTGGTTACCTCTGTAAAGACCCTATCTCTAAATAAGGTCGTATCCTGAGGTACTGAGGGTTAGAATTTCAACATATGAATTTTTGGGTACACAATTCAACCCATAATAGATGCCTTTTATTTATTTTTCTTTGCCTTTTGCACTGGCAAGAACCAGTGTAGTGTTGAATAGTAGTGGGGAGAACAGACATCCTTCTGTTCCTGATCTTAGGGGGAAAGCACGTAGTTTTTCATCTTTAAGTATGTCAGCTGTAGGTTTTTTGTTAGATATTTTTTGTCGTGTTGAGGAGGTTCCCTTCTATCCTTGTTTGCTGGGAGTATTTATCAGGAATGAGTGCCAGATTGTATCCAATGCTTTTCCTGCATCTTTGAGATGATCTTGTGGTTTTTCTATTTTAGTTTACATTATTTGTGCATGTTTTAAAATTTATTCCCTTTTATGATATGACTGTCTGAGACAGTTCATCAGAGATTTACTTTTTAAATGGTGATCTGATTATATAGTGATTTTAATCACCAGTTTTCCTTTCCTCTCTTGATTAGTGAATGAGAGCTACAAGCCTGAATTTATAGAGCTTAAGAAGTGGCTGAAAGATAGGAAGTTTGAAGATACAAACTTAATACCTGCTTGTTTTCCAGGTAAGGTCTGACATTCAACTCTCACATGAGAGACATGTGGGCCCAGGTGGTAGGAAAGCAGGGGTGATTCTTGCAGGTGGGCTGTATTCTTTCTGGGGGCATATCATCTCCTCAACCCGAAAAAAAATATCTAACATCTTCTGTTGTGTGGCAGCCTTCCTGCCTTGTAGGTGTAATATTTACTTGACCTTATTCTAAAAATGAGTTTAAGTGGCTTGTGGAGAGAAATTCCAAAATGGTGAAATAAAATTAAAAGTTAGAAAAGGGAAATGAGAATAGAAAAATAAGACGAAGGCAGGGATAAGGATAACACATAAAAGCCATGATTGTGAAATTTCGTACCCCTGTCAGAGGTGAGCTACAAATTTGACTCATCTCTCCGGCAGCCCAATGTATATGATTAATTAGCTGAATCTTAGTGTTCTGTAAACCCAGCTAAATTGTTTACTCATCAGAAGTACAGGTATTTCTGGAACTTAGACCTGAGGGAAACATCTTCACTGGGCTTTTCTGGGAGGACATTGTGTAATGTGGGGACTGGTGTCCCCATCAACCTGCTTCTGGTGATTTCATGGGATTTTCAAGCCGTGCAGGCTGATGGGATTATCCCTTATCAGGAGCATCACCGTAGTTTTCTAAGGGGAGGGGTTCCAGAGAACCAGCAGAGGTGCTTGGTCCCTGGGGGAGGCTCCAGGAGAGGAGCCCTTAGGGAAGCCTCAGCGGTATTGCCCCCCGAGTGTTGGAGGAGGAGCCCCTGTGTGGCCCTGGCGTCCACAGTCACCTGAACAGGGGTGGGTGAACATTCTCTTCTGGAAGGTGAGGAGCTTGTTGTGAAGGTTGGATTAACATTGTTTTCTGAAAATTGAGGAGCTTGTCATGGAGTTTGGGTTAACATTCTCTTCCGGAACATTCTCTCACAGAAGTTGGGCAGCTTGTTATGGGCTTGTGCCTGCATACAAGGCGACCCAGCTCTGTCCACAAGTGGGCTTGAGGTAACCACAGAGACAGTTATGTGCTGAGGGCCTTGAAGTTCTGTATCACAGGGCAGGTGCAGGCATTTCACCTTGTAGAATATTTAGACCATATGCCTCTGAATGCTTCCCTTGGCGATTAAAATGATCATTCAAGTACCCATTAGGTAATTTAACTTTGAGCAAACTAACTTCCTTATATATCACCCAAGATAAATGGTTTACCATGTGTGCCCCTGGTCCAGTGAGGCGATGTGTGTAAAGTTGTTCCCTGTGTGTCAGTTATACATGATGACTTTGGGCTAAAATACTTGATTTGAACCAACTTCTATTAGGATTGCTCCTTCTTTATGATGGTGAACCATATTTATCAGCCTCTAACAGAATGTTTAACTTTCTCTGTTTGTGTGTCAAGGAACGGTCAGTAAAAACCATACTCTTAGATTTTACTGGATGGAGTTCTTTATGAGATGATCAAGGGAAAGTAGTGTCAGGAGTGGACTTGCTGTGCCTAAGGCCTGCCTACTCCTCGGGTGTCACTTTGCCTTAAGAAGGGTAGGTTTAAAATTGTCAAGCGGGAATTGGCATATGGTTTCAATCGAATGCCTGAAAATAAGTAATCTGTCTGTGGTTTGAAGCAGTGAAGAGTTAGCAGTTTTAAAAGTAGGAGCAGCTTTCTCTGGGCCCACCTCCAGATTCATGGTCTTGGAGGAGCTAAAGCAAAGTGGTTTGGCAGTGATCAGAACCCAGTACTTACAGTTCTGGGGTCAGGGAACCTTCTGCCTTAGCTTGGGCTGCCATAGCAAATTACCATGGACTGGGCGGCTTAAAAGAGTCATTTACTTCTCACAGTTCTGGAGGCTGGGAAGTCTAAGATCATGGTGTGGGCAGATTCAGTGTCTAGCGAGGACCGATTCCTGCTTTGCAAATTCCCATCTTCTTGTTGTGTCCTCACATGGTGGAGAGCTGGGAGCTGGAGCAGGCTCTCTTGTCTCTTCTTATAAGAGCACGAATCCCATTCACGAGGGCTCCACCCTTATGACCTAGCCACTTACCAGAGGCCCTACCTTCTAAAGCCATCTCACTGGGGGCTGAGAAATCAACATATGAATTTGGGGGGACACAAGCATGCGGTCTGCAACACCTTCCCTAAGGGCTTTCTGTATCTTCAGCTGTTAATCAGTGTATGATAGGAGAGCATGCTGATGGGAGTCTGTCAGGATGGACAGAATTCTGGGGAGTGAGTCCTGGTTTATGGCAAGGCTCCCAAGTTGCAAGCAGGATTCAATCTTTAGACTCTGACCTGATTTATGCTTTGGGAGCTGACCCTAGTATTTCCTTTTAATGCTAAAAGCACGGTCCAAATCGGGGCCTCCCGGGTAGATGGATGGTAGCAGAAATTATAAGGCAGGGAGAGGTCTGTAATAAGATCCTCATGGCCACTTGCTCCCTTGCCTCAGTAAGTGCAGGTTACTGTGATCTGCTTTCTGATCTCCTGAATACTATATTGTAGACATATAGGTAAAGTATCTTCCGGATTTATTCGACATGCCAAGTTCTGTTCATGTGTGCTCGAAGAGAAATTTCCACTTAAATTAGCACATTAATTTTTTTTTTTTTTTGCGGTACACGGGCCTCTCACCGCTGTGGCCTCTCCCGCCGCGGAGCACAGGCTCCGGACGCGCAGGCCCAGCAGCCATGGCTCACGGGCCTAGCCGCTCCGCGGCATGTGGGATCCCCCCAGACCGGGGCACGAACCCGTGTCCCCTGCATCAGCAGGCGGACTCTCAACCACTGCACCACCAGGGGAGCCCAGCACATGAATTTTTTTAAAAGATGACCCCACAGAAAAAAATCCTCTCATTAGTAATTGATTTCTGGAAGGGTTCTGGCCCACGGGGATTAACTCCACAGTGGGACACACAGAAGAAATTAAGTAAGTTCTTAAAACCAAAACCATGTGTTTGAGCAGACAGACGCTTCTGGGTAGGGAGATAACTCATCAAATCAAACTTGCCAGATACCGGACGGGACTCGAGGCGGGAATTTCCTCCAGGAACCTGCAGCTTCCACTAGTCCCGCAGGCATTGACCTTTGCTGAATTATGTACCCTCCTAGCTGAGAGAAAAAAGTCAACAACTGTGGATTTGAGAAGATGACTAGAGAGACTCCGTATGATAGTTATAGGTCATACGTATTGTGCCCATCCCTGCCGGAAAAGCTGTCGTCTGACTGTTGCAGGAGGGCAGCCTTGGGCACAGAGGGGTAGACGTCTGCGTGTTGGTGGCGTTGACAGAGCTGCTGCGGAGGTTAGTGTTGTGAGTGTGCTCTGGCCAAGGCCTTGGCTCACGGGAACAGCTGGCCCTGGATCTACCCTGCTGAGCCCGTCAGGTCACGGAGGGCGTGGCTAATGGCTGCCTGGCTGGGGTGGGGAGGGGGTAGGCCTCAGGCTTTGAGGGACCTGAGTGAGCTTGACTGGTCATTCGGTTAAAGACTCGAGATCATGACTGGGGAAGGCCGGGTCTGGCAGTGGGTAAAAGTGGCCTGTGGGTCCAGCCTCTGAGGTTGGGTGGGCGTTAGGGTTAGGCTTCACCCCGGCTGGTGAGCCCCAGGGGAGAGAATCCAGCCTCAAGTTTCCTGTAAGAGACCCAGCAGCAGATCTGCCTAAAGGTGATGGTCTTTAGGTGTTGACTCTGAAGCTGACTTTGCCCTTCAAGATTATAAACCCAGAAGGAGGTTGGGCCATTTTCCAGAATAGCTTCTTTTTTAAAAAAAATTTATTTATTTTTGGCTGCATTGGGTCTTTGTTGCTGAGCGTGGGCTTTCTCTAGCTGCGGCGAGCGGGGACTACTCTTTGTTGCAGTGCATGGGCTTCTCATTGCGGTGGCTTCTCTTGTTGCGGAGCATGGGCTCTAGGCACATGGGCTTTGGTAGTTGTGGCACGTGGGCTCAGTAGTTGTGGCTCGCGGGCTCTAGAGCACAGGCTCAGTAGCTGTGGCGCACGGGCTTAGTTGCTCCGCGGCATGTGGGATCTTCCTGGACCAGGGCTCGAATCCGTGTCCCCTGCATTGGCAGGCGGATTCTTAACCACTGCACCACCAGGGAAGCCCCAGAATAGCTTCTTGATCCTTTGGTTCCCCTGGGAGTCAAAGGACGCGAGACACTCAGCTTCAGCTTTGTGTAATTTTGAAGTTCATCCACATCTTTTATGCAGAATAGTATCTCTAAGACCTTGAAGAAAGAGTAGGATTTACCCTTTTTCTGTCTTTGCATTCCTAGGTACAGGAAGAGGGCTGATGAGCAAAACATCCCTACGGGTGAGAATTTCTCTCTTATCTTGAAACCCAAAGTAGAGTTTGCTGCTTTGTTTTTGTTTTTGTGGTTCAATCAAGTGAATTAAAGATATTTTAGACATACAGATTTTTTTTTTTTTACTTAATGTATAGTTTTGAATACAGTTCTGTCAGTTAGAATTAAGTTTGCAGCGTATAAGAGACAAATCCAAGGTAACAGAGCGCGAGTGTCTCATGCCGTCATGTGAACAAGCGTGGACGGGCAGACCTGGGCTGGTGTGCTGGTCTCTCGGGCTCCATCCAGCTCTTATCCATGTTCTGAGAGGGAGCCCCACACCCTCAGCTCCAGGGTGCAGCTCCAGGAGCTTGAGCAGCAGGACGGCGCAAGGGGTGAGGAAGGGCAGGCTTCCCCTCACTCCGGAAATTACAGCTCCCAGCTGCCGCGAGCTCCCAGCTGCCGCGAGCTCCCAGCTGCCGCCATCTCCCAGCTGCCGTGAGCTCCCAGCTGCCGCGAGCCGCACCCTTCAGGTGGGACTGCATGGGGAGCAGGAGCAGGGAGCGCGCTGGGGGGCGGTGGCCAGCAGTCTCTGCGGCAGCAGGGTTTGTAAATCGGATCATACTGTAAATGCGCTGGGGATGGGCTGGGGGCGGAAGGGAGTTGCTCGAATCTGAGCATCCGTAGTAAGTACGGCCGGGCAGCCCAGCAGGCTGCTAACCCTCCTGGCTTCTGTCTCCTCACCTGGAAAGCGGAGGTAAGTGATGCGGATGCTCTCCAAGGTCTGTTTTAGTTCTTCTGTGCTACTTAAAGGGTATCTAATGCACAGTTTTCTGTAAAGCTAGAAATTAATTCCTTAATTTATTTGTAATGATCTTAATTTTCTGTTTCAAAATTGTTTTAATTTATTTTTACTTCCTTAATTTAATTTATAAAAAACCCCAGCTGTGTATATATCTTTAGCCTAAAGAATGGTAGCTTTTAATGTTATAATTCTATTATGCTATCTTAATTTTTTTTAATTAAACATTTAAAATTGTGGTAAAATTTACACAACATAAAATTTACTATCTTAACCCTTTTTAAGTGTGCCGTTCAGTAGTATTAAGTACATTAACACTGTTGTGCAATATTTTTCTTCTTGAGGGGAGGTATATGACTTCATTGTGTAGCAGAAGTTGGGGGGAGAAATATACCTCTCATGAATACAGCAGTGGCTGTGGGTAGTTTTTGTTAAGATCATGAAATGATAATTGGCAGTTGCTTTACATGTACTTTCAAATGTGGCTTTTTTGTGAAAACTTTTTGAAAATTGAGATGTATTTTACACATAGTGAAATGCACAGATTTAAAGTGTCCAGTTTGATGAGTTTTGATGATGAAGTCATTTACCCCAGTCAAGACATAGAGCATTTTATTAAGTGCCTTTTTTTAAATCAGAAAGTCATGGGATGTCAGAGCAGGAAGGGACTGTAGTGACCATCCCAACTCAATCTTGAATCACAGATGAGGAGACCAGAAATTGAACCCAGGAGATTTTTGGCTGTGATTTTTTTTTTTTTTTTTTTTGCGGCACACGGCCTCTCACCGTTGCGGCCTCTCCCATTGCGGAGCACAGGCTCCGGACGCGCAGGCTCATTGGCCACGGCTCACGGGCCCAGCCACTCCGCGGCATGTGGGATCTTCCCGCACCGGGGCACAAACCCGTGTCCCCTGGATCGGCAGGCGGACTCTTAACCACTGCGCCACCAGGGAAGCCCTGGCTGTGATGTTTAACCAACTTAGATGCCAGTTATTATGAAAGCAGGGTCTCATATCTGGCTTCTTAGTGCTTTCTTTCTGATGTCTCTTCCTCGACATCTTAATTTTTCTATGTTTCTGTCTCAGTGGGAGAAGCTGAAAGCTATACTTTGGCAGGTGGTCAGATGAGACCCTTGTGCTGGGGGGGCTGCCCTTCTTTAGCCACTTGGCGCAGGTCATATGGCGAGCAGGCCATTGCTGGGAATAGTCACTGGACACATGGATTTCACTGGAAGAATTTTTTGGCGTGGTTTCTGTCTGTTGCCTATAGGTAGCACTATTTCCTGGTGTCAGAAAATGAAGGGGTAATATGATTCGAGTTGTCAGAGTGTTTCCACATTCCTTTCTGGTGGAAGGTTGACTGGTGGTGGGTGTCAGTCACACAATTAACCTTTAATTCTTGCTGGGGATGTAGTATCTATCCCTGGCGTGGGAGCAGCCTTGCCTGCATCTGCTGACTTAAACTGGGGAGCCCATCCCCTGAGGGCTCTTCGGTCATCGGTGGTTGGGCTCTGCTGGGTTCTTATTAGATGATTGTGGAATCAAGGGCTTTAAAGACTCATTCAGGTCCTTCCCAAAGCATGGATGTGCTAAACTTTACTTTCTTTTTGGCAAGGAGGGACAGATGATTATCTCATTGCCTGAGAGTTGCCTGCTCACAACGGACACAGTGCTTAGAAGCTACTTAGGGGCGTATATTGCTAAGTAAGTGACTGCTCACCTGCTTGTCTGGGCCAAGTGCTTCTCCCTTAAAGTTTATATCATTGGAGAGTGTGTCGTCCAAGACATAGCTCATTAGGACCCAGCCCTTTCACGTAGCTAACAAATATCTGAAATGATTTGAAAGGTTTACTCTGTTTTATGAAGTTGATTCTTAATTCATTGTAAACTGCGTTTTTAAGGTTTTAATAGGCTGCTTGGGATGTGGGTTTGAATCCTGATCTAACCTTACTAGAAAATAAGGATTAAATGGGATAATAGATGTAAATCACGGCTGAGTGCCTTGTCTCATGACACTCCACTCTCCTCCGTTGTAGTAGGTCTTGACAAATTCTATTTAATCTTTCATTTTTACCCTTATTGTACTTGCTTGAATTCCCCTTCAGCTCTGAAGAGCTGTTGACAGTATGAGAGAGTTGGTTTTGTTTGGCAGAGAAGAGAGGAGGCCAACATGGGAGCTGAGAACTATTTTCTGGCTTATGTTATAGGGGGTCTCTGTTTTGGGTGGGTTTCTGAGGACAGTGTGAGGGAGATCCTCAGCATAAGGGGTTTCTAAATTATAAAGGTTGAAAGATTGTATTGTTTCTCAACCCACAGTAAGTTCTGGACTTTTTTTCCCTGGCTTACTTTTGTAAGAGGGCTGGTGTATTTTCACTGGCCTGAGTAGAGGCAAGGATGCTCTTAGTATTAACATTTTCTGAAAGTTTGAGTAGGACGCATGGTATTTTAGGAATCTGAACTTTGAAGGATTAATGAAAACTTTCCTAAATACATTCATGCAACATGTGATCTTTTTATTGGTAACAAATAAAAACACTGCGATGTATAATTTGCAATAGAATGGGTACATTTAAGACAAAAGCTTTAGATCTGTAACAGGTATATAGTGAGCCTCTTCAGTTTTCTGCCTGGGTTAGTATCATATAATAGAACTTTCTGCAATGATAGCATTGTTTTACCTTGTGCTGTCTGGTACGGTAGCCACCAGTCACATATGGCTCAAGAGCACTTGAAATGTGGCTTGTATGACTGGGGAATTGAATTTTCAATATTATTTAATTAAAAAAAATAAAAATTGAAATAGCTATATGTACGCAGCGGTTACTATGTTGGAGGGGGCACGTCTAGGTTCTTTCCACCAGTTGCCCTCTACCCCCCAAGTGGAACAAGTGAAATTCCAGCAAAAGCTTTAAAACTGGAGAACCAAGTTGGAAGCAAAGAGGTTTTTGCAAGAAAAAATCTCTGGCAAACAAAGCTGGAGCTTGGGTTAGTGAGCCAGTTCTTGTATCAGTGTGACGGGTTCACTGCATTTGTACTGGGGTGCAATCCGGGGAGGAAAGCCTTGAGGAAGGAAGACCTCTCTTGGGTGCATTAGGTGAGCTTGGCCACAGTCCCTCTGGGAGCAGAACTAAGCCCTAGGATGTCTGTACTTCTTGCTTACGCCGTATTTTGAATGAAAGTAATTCCTTTAATCTGCTTTTCATTTTAAAAGGTGGCAGCCTCCTCCATCTCCTGTGCTGGCTCTTTGCACCTTTTTAGTTTCAGAAAAGCATGCTGGGGACCGGTCTCCCTGGAAGCCTTACCTGGAGGTTTTGCCCAAGGCCTACACCTGCCCTGTTTGTTTGGAGCCAGAAGTGGTGAATCTTCTTCCCAGACCTTTGAAAGCAAAGGCCAGAGAACAGAGAACCCACGTGCAGGAGTTCGTTTCTTCCTCCAGAGACTTTTTCTCTTCCCTGCAGCCTCTGTTTTCGGAGGCCGTCGAGAGCATCTTCAGCTACAGCGCCCTTCTGTGGGCTTGGTGCACCGTCAACACCAGGGCTGTGTACATGAAGCGCGCGCCGAGGCAGTGCTTTTCCACAGAGCCGGACACCTGCGTGCTCGCCCCGTTCCTCGATCTGCTGAACCACAGCCCTGACGCCCAGGTGAGACGTTAACCGGGAGACCTGTGTTTGGTTTCAATAGGAAGGCCTCTAACGTGTAGAACCTGTGACTCGGAAGAGCCAGCAGAACCGCAGGGAGAGGTGCAGCTGGTAAACCCACCTGCTGTCAGGTAGGCTTCTCTCTTTCTTCCCGACCCTCTTTCCCCGCCGGCATCCTTTTCCTTTGCCACTTTCCCTGCTCTGCTCTCCAGGCCTGCAGGTGGTCTATCCCCTCTATGCCCCGAACCCTAGCCCTCCCCCACCTCCCCATGGTGCAGCATCCTTCTTCCTCCTTTCAGACCTGCGGCTAAAGTCTCGCTTGCTTTCCTGTCTCTTTCCCTTTCACACTTGGTGGCATCGCTGTCAGCATTTTGCCGTGATCTCTGAGGGACTTGCTCCTTCCCCGCTTGGAGCTCTGCAGTCTTAGAGGACAAGTACTTTGCCTTGTACTTTTTGTAACGCCAGTGCTCAGCACAGGGCCTGGCACATAGTAGGCCTGTTCAATCAATCAACAGTTTCTGGCTGGATGGCTATTTGTGGGAAATCGTTAAGGGGTCCCACTTTGGGAGTCAGTCGGGGATCTCTTCTTCCCCAGGCTTCTCTGCTCCAGCACATAAAGGAGATGATTATATCGGCGGGGCACACGGGGCTGAAGGCCTGGCATGAGGGCAAAGGATGTCTGTGTGTCAGCTAACCTGTTGCCTGTTCAGGGTGCGCTTGCAGGCGCACTGGCGGGACCTGCGCTCACGCTGTCCTCTTCGTGACCCACGCCACCCTGAGAAGCCCACGTGCCCACGAGACGAGAGCGTGGGGATGGAGGGGAGACCCTCTCTGTGCTTTCTTAGGCTACGGCCATCGCTGTGCCTGTCTGCTCCTTGCTTTTGTAGAAAGATGCATTTCTAACAAAATTAAGCAAAGGAGAGCTTCCCTGGTGGCGCAGTGGTTGAGAGTCCGCTGCCGATGCAGGGGACACAGGTTCGTGCCCCGGTCCGGGAAGATCCCACATGCTGCGGAGTGGCTGAGCCTGCGAGCCATGGCCGCTGAGCCTTCGCATCCGGAGACTGTGCTCCGCAATGGGAGAGGCCACAGCAGTGAGAGGCCCGCGTACCGCAAAAAAAAAAAAAAGTGCGCTGCAGCTGGCGTTTGACGTGACACCGCTGGCCTTGGCCCTGACCTCTTGTAGGTGCCACAAAAGCTAGAATTTCAGCCTGTTCCTCATCCCCGTCTCACTGCAGTTTGCTGCTTGGTGAGAAGGCCTCGGTGCTTGTACCCGCCGCTTGTTGTGGGAGCAGTCGGTCTCCTTGGTCTTTTCCTCTCTGCCTGTTACCTAACAAAGCTGTCACAAAATCCATATGACAGTATCAGCCAACATCATGCTGCTCACAAAAGGCTGTGTGTGTATCGTAGGACCTGAAATTTCATGCGGGGCCTGGATGTCTGGGCCTCGCGGGGCCCCGAAGGCCTGACCATGAGTTCCTCCGCCCTCTCCGGATATTTCCCACCCAGCAGGAAGTTGCCCTCAGCCGGACTGGCTGTAGCCCACCTGGTCCTCAACCGAATGCGTGTCAACTCCCTGCCAGCCCTCAAAATTATTCAAACAGGCAAATCACATCGCCCCGGGGAACCAGGGCGTCACCTCTTGCGCCTGCAGGCCTGCTTCCCATGGCCTCTGCTGACACTCCGCTCCCAGGCGCAGCCCCTGTGTGGCCGTATGGGTGACTTACAATAAACTGCCATTAGTCATCTGTCCGCTGTCAGGTGTCGTGTGTTTGGCCATCCTCAGAGCCCCCAGGCGGGACTCCCTCCCACCCCGATGGGGGGAAGTCGAGGAGAACCAAAGAGGCCAAAGTGCGGACGTGGCATTTTTTCTCCAGGTGGATAAATTCCGTGATGAGTGCTTGAAAGCGGCATCCTGCTTAAATTCATACGCTCACTTAATCTTTTTAGTTTTCTGCTTTGCTCTAAAAACATCTTTTACAATTCTTTTTTCTAGGTAAAAGCAGCATTTAATGAGGAAACTCGCTGTTATGAAATTAGAACAGCTGTGAGCTGTGGGAAACACCAAGAGGTGCTCATCTGCTATGGCCCTCACGATAACCACCGCCTGCTCCTCGAGTATGGATTTGTTTCCGTCCGCAATCCTCATGCTTGTGTTTATGTCTCAAAAGGTTGGAATTAACTTTGGTTCTGATCACTAAGATGATAGAATTCCCCACCCCCCCATCTGTGGTTATGTTAAGTTTTTGTCACAATGGCAAAACCTTAAAGTGTGTATCATTTATTTTCTCCTAGGCAGGGCTAGCCTAATTCTTATTGACCACGTCATTTCATTGTTGAAGTAAAACCAGGAAAGCTTTGATCGGTGTTGAGGATAAGAAGAACTGAGATTTTTATTGCATTAGGTCAGACAGTAGAATGGAAGAAAAGAGAAACTGCTAGGGAAATAAATAGAGTATTAATAGATGGCAAGAAGTGGAAATTTTTGTACTGAGACACTGTCACTAAAGATAAAATAGGATTAGAGAGCAGCAAGTAAAAAATACTTATGAAGCACCCACTGTGTGTAAGGTGGTGTACCAATCGCATGGTAAATATGTCACACAGTCCTTCTCTGGGCGGCTTAATGGCATGATAAAATATGCATTCCATTTATGTCCTTTTGTTACCTAGCGTCATCATTACTCTTTTTATTCTTTTTAAAATAATGATTTACCTATTAAATTTATGCTGTGAAAATTTAAAATATGGTATTAAAAATAGTACATAGGGGGCTAATTTTTTCCCCCTTCCTTGAAGCAGCAGAGAAATAGTTTTCTAGGCTTTGAAGAAATGGCTAGAGATTTACTGAGTGTATAATTTGAGGTAGTTTTAATATAAGTTCTAATGGAAATAGAGACTTGGTCAAGGTGATACTACTCCATCCTATTAGTAGCCAAAGTAATAATGTTATTTCTCAGAATGAAATGGAAAAGCGAAAACTGGGCCTTGCTGGGTCTCTTAGAAAGCTAGCTTTGAAATTAGCCTTATATTATCAGAATAACTTTAATATCGATGACCATGAAGTATTGATTTGTTAAATAATTTGAACAAAATTCACACTTTCATTATTTCTGCATTTAAAAAATAGAAGTAGAGAAATGTAAAAAATTTTAGAAATAGAAAAATCCCTCATTATCCTGTGACCCCAAAAAGCTTTGTTAATTTTTGCATGTTCATTTTCAGTTGTTTATGATTACAGTCACTAATATCCAGACAGTTTTGAATTCTGGCTTTTAAAAACTGAGTCTTGGAAACATTTCCTCATGTTTGTACGGAGTCTGTACTTCTGGTGGGTGTAATTTCTCAGCAGTCCTGCTAATGTCTTCATTACCCGATTTCGCGGGTTGATTTGCTTAGTGAGAGCAGCAGCTGAGGTAGCAGACGTTTTGTCCCCTGCCTTGGAATTCTTGTAGCTTTCCAGAGGGCTGAATCATACTCCCATTGAGTTGGGCTTGAAGACTAGATTTTTTGGATGTGAAATAGGTGAAATTGTTTACACATGTTTTGATTGCTGACGGGAAGGAAAGTAAGCTGAGAAGAAAGGGTCCCCCCTCTCTTCCACCTGAATTATACCCTAAATCTCAGCCTGATTTTTTTTTTAATGCAGATATACTTGTTAAATATCTTCCATCAACAGATAAACGGATGAACCAAAAGATCTCCATTTTAGAGGATCACGACTTTATAGAGTAAGTGTTTCTCTCCAGTAATTATTCCTTCAGGAAATCTTGATGAAAAGTTGAGAGCTGGGATTTTTACAGGTGTGAGCTGCCTCCCGACTTGTATCCCGTGACAGGTAGCTACTTACCGAGCATTTACTCTGTGCGGCACATCGTGCTTCATGTTGCGGGATACACAGGAGGGGAATTTGCTGGTCAGGCGACTTGTTTGGGGACCTAAGATACAAGCCTGAAGTCTCAAGTTCTGTACCGGGAGAGCCCCGTACGTACTGATCGGTGGCCCAGTGTGTTTGTGGCAAACATGTGGTCAGGTGGGGTGGCATCGGCTACTGCAGGCCAGCCTGGCCGTCAGTCACCCGGCAACAGGATGCAGGCTCTTGGGATGGGAGGAGCCTAGGTGATTCCACGCCAAGTGGGATAAACTGGGTTTGACACCCTCCCTTTCAGATTTTCTTCTATAGGTGAAATTAAGTTTTAAATAATCCAGCAGCACTGTGAGGGACACTAGCTCTGTTGGCTGCCATTTGTTTCATCCAGAGGATCATCCAGATTCTTCATCATTCATCTCACTGTGGCCCCTCATCCAAGTTCAGCTTCTTACCAAATAAAAATAGCTTTTTACTTTTTTTTTTTTTTTGTGGTACGCGGGCCTCTCACTGTTGTGGCCTCTCCCATTGCGGAGCACAGGCTCCGGACACGCAGGCTCAGCACCCATGGCTCACGGGCCCAGCCGCTCCGCAGCATGTGGGATCTTCCCGGACCGGGGCACGAACCCGTGTCCCCTGCATCGGCAGGTGGACTGTCAACCACTGCGCCACCAGGGAAGCCCTACTTTTTTTCTTTTTTTTTTTTAAACACAAAGAATTTTTTGTTACTCAGGCCTTATTCTTAAGTATTTGCAGACTTACTTTTCTCTTTGTGACTAAGACCATGGGTTGTGCCATGTTTAGTGGCCCCTTTAAAAAAATGTTTGGATTTTTAGTCATTTCCCGTGATGTAATGAAGTACTGAAATGACAGACTGGTAATTTTTTTTTTTAATTTAATTTTTATTTTATGTTGGAGTGTAGTCGATTTACAATCTTGTGTCAGTTTCAGGTGGACAACAAAGTGATTTAGTTATACATATATATATCTCTGTTCTTTTTCTACTTTAGAAATTTGACGTTTGGATGGGATGGACCGTCTTCGCGGTTACTCACAGCTCTTAAGTTGTTATGTCTGGAAGCTGAAGAATTGTAAGTTCCCTGTGTGTTGGTCGTGAGCTGTAGTTACGATTTGGACGTAACTTTGGCTTTTTTGGGGCTTACATTCAAAGGCCCAACCTCAGAGGAGAAAGGAATGCCCTTGTATATTGGGGTTGCTTATTCTCTGTGTAACTTGCCCGTGTGGGGAGTGGTTCACTTCTAGGTTTGCACCATTTCTGGAATTCTGGTTTTAGAGTTATAGTCAGAGTACACAGGCCTGAGAACTGGTCTCTCCTCACATGTATCCCCCTGGTGACCTGCAGCTCGTTGTTCAGGGTAAACACTTGGAAAAGCGTGCGCGTTGGCCCTGGTCAGAGGAGAGCCTCTGAGCAGGTGGATTTTTCCTGGGAACAGACCGAGCTCCTGACCACTGGCCGGGTCCCCCCCGGTTCTGTCCTGGGGGCAGATCTAGACGCCTGCTCAAGGAGAGGCCTGGATATTTCCATAGAGGAGGCAGGTGGAGGAGCCCCTGGTGTAGACACGCATCCTGGTCAGGTCCTCACTATTCCTGAGAGGCTGTTGGTCCTTCCCTTAGTGTGGAAAGGATGGTCACACGCGCGGCCGTGCGCTGCCCAGCCCTGGAGCTCCTTGCGAGGGAGTCGGGGAGTAATGCCTGCTACTTAGCAAATCTCAGGTGAGAGACACCACAGGGAGGACTTCCTGAAGATGGCGAACCCCGTCCTCGAGCAGTTGGGAGGATTAGGTGAGATAACGCCTAGAAGCAGCCCTCAGCACAGTGCCTGGAAGTAGTTTGTGCTCATTCCATCATGCCCGTGATGTTGCTGTTTACAGTGTTGCTTACTTCCATATCTGTAGGGACCTGGGGAGAAAAACTATCCCCTGGTCTCAACACCAGAAGCAGTTGTGTCTCGTCTCAGCAGATGGTGTGTTTTTGTCGTACAGACACTGAATTCTGTATCTGATGTGTTTCCTTCTTTTTATCGCTCGCTAGAAAACTCAGAGGCAACTTTGTGGTCCATCCACGTGTGCAGGATTCTAAGGCGTGCAATTTATCACTGACTCATTCCTGGCTGTATCTTATCTTTCTTCTTCTTTCCTTCATCTTGTTTTCCCTATCCATTCATCTTGTGTTTTATTTTATCTCGTGCATACCCACATAAGTTTCTTTAAGTCGTTCTTGGAGACGTCAACCTCAAATTAAATAAAGCAACTGGATGTTTCCCAGAGGTCCTCCTGAGGCCTCCTTTCTTCCCTTTGGGTGCTTTCTGACTACCTGAGTGGTGTGGCAGAGGAAGCATGTGTTTGGGATTCTGCCTGACGGGTATTTGCACGCTAGTTCTGCCTCTCATTAGCTCCGTCACTTAGGGTGAGTGCTTTACTGTTCCGGATTCTCAGTTTCTTTGTGTCTGAGGTGGGGATTATAATGCTTTCTTTGCTAGGCGGTTGTGAAGATTAAAACAGATACTGGCTGTGTATAAAGCACTGTTCCTGGCACACAGTAATGGCGTTCCTTCTTTTTTTTTTTTTGGCCGTGCCACGCGCATGCAGGATCTTAGTTCCCCAACCAGGCACTGAACCCGTGCCCCCTGCAGTGGAAGTGCGGAGTCTTAACCACTGGACCGCCAGGGAAGTCCCTAATGTTATTTCTTGACTTCCTTTCTTTCCCGAGAACTCATCTGCTCTGGGGTTGCCGCCATGATCCCTGAAGCTGATGACATCTAAGACTTCATTTTCTGTATGGCTCTTGGGCTGTTCTGAATTTCTCAGCGACTTCTGTGCCCTCCACTGCGATGGTAGAGCTGTCACCGTGGCCTTTCCCTCCTCAGCCACGTGCACTTTCGCGTTCTGTGCATCTAGCTTCTGTCCCCCCGCCCCCTTCCTCCCTGTTTAGTGCTCCTCACTGGCCTGTAGGCTTGACTCAGCCCCTCCTGCTCGGCACATTGGCCGTGGCCCCCTCTTGCCTCCTCTGCAGAAAAGCTGGCCCCGCCAGCCCACTGAGCCCCATTTCCTACGGACTTCCTTAGTGTAAAATTGGAAGGACCTGCGTGTAGAGAAAGGCTTCACTGTTGATTCCTCTTTCCATCTGTAGAGCATTTTACTTTGTGAAACATGTCCTGTTCCGTTTGCCATTTTTTTTAGGAGAGGCTGTCATTTGAAGAAAAGGAAAACCTCCGCCTTTGCTCCTTAGTCGGTAGTACTTTGACTGTGAACTCACCTTCCTGTCTCTTGTTCTCTTCCTTTGGCTGGTGGACGCGACTCTTCTTACTCATGTGCCAGACACAGGATTGTGGTGCTAATAAAACTCAGGCCCTGTCTGCAAAGAGCGCCAGTTCCCTCGCTTCTTATCCTCGGCGTTCCTTCTTCTGTCCTGTATACCTTGTCTGCTCCAACACAGGACCTGCGTGTGGTGGGAGGTTTGAGGGAACGTGCTGATGGAATGAGTTTTATTATATTTCTGGAAAAATAGGAGAAGTGTTCAAGTGGAAAAGCCGCCTTTGTGTTTGAAAACCTGCTGAAATGACTTTATTGAATATTTTGGTTCTAGGACATGCTGGAAAAAAGTACTTATTGGGGAAATAATTTCAGATACAAATGAGAAGGCAAGTTTGGACATAGCCCAGAAAATATGCCATTATTTCATCAAGGAGAGTAAGGCTGTGCTTCAAAAGGTATGCTTCTAGAATATTGCGTTCTTTTCCTAAGTGTGTTGATGAAGTTGTTTTGTACTGATGCTTGTTGGATAGGGATAGTCCACCTTCTTAGGGTGTTGTTAATGCCTTAATAAATGAACACTGATGTAATTCGTGTTTTGACTGTTAACATGTGTCTACACCTTTTAATAGGTAAAATTATTGCATGAATTCTTGGTAACAGATTTTTAAGGTACTCTTTCCCTTTTATTTTTAAATTTCTTTTAGTTAAAAAAATTTTTTTTTGTCCGGGTTGGGTCTTCGTTGCTGCACACGGGCTTTCTCTGGTTGTGGCAAGCAGGGGCTGCTCTTCGTCGCAGTGCACGGGCTTCTCATTGCGGTGGCTTCTCTTGTTGTGGAGCATGTGCTCTAGGCGCGCGGGGCTTCAGTAGTTGTGGCACGCGGGCCCTAGAGGGCGCAGGCTTCTGTAGTTGTGGTGCGTGGGCTCAGTAGTTGCGGCGCAGGGCTTAGTTGCTCCACGGCATGTGGAATCTTCCCTGACCAGGGATCGAACCCATGTCGCCTGCATTGGCAGGCTGATTCTTAACCACTGCACCACAAGGGAAGTCCCGTCTTTCCCTTTTATTTAATGAACGTTTTAATTAAATGAGGAATTAGCTTATTTGAATGAAAACATTACTAGGATTAAAAAAAATAATTTTATTGAACCTTGAAGACCTTGTGTTGAGTGAAATAAACCATGACCCAAAAAGACAAATACCCTGTACTGTATGATTCCACTTAAATGAGATATCTGGAATAGGCAAATTTATAGAGACAGAAAGTAGAGTAGAGGTTACCAGGGATTTGGGGAGGGGGAAATGGGGAGTTAATGTTTGATGGGTACAGAGTTTCTGTTTGGGATGATGAAAAAGTTCTGGAGATGGATGGTGGCTGTAGTTATATAACACTGTGAATGTACTTAGTGCCGCTGAATTGTACATTTAAAAGTGGTCGGAATGTTAATTTTTTTTTTTTTTGCGGTACGCGGGCCTCTCCCTGCTGTGGCCTCTCCCGTTGTGGAGCACAGGCTCCGGACGCGCAGGCTCAGCGGCCATGGCTCACGAGCCCAGCCGCTCCGCGGCATGTGGGATCTTCCCGGACCGGGGCACGAACCCACGTCCCCTGCATCGGCAGGCGGACTCTCAACCACTGCGCCACCAGGGAAGCCCTAAAATGTTAAATTTTATGTTTATGTATATTTTACTACACTAAAGAAAATCATTTAAAAATAACTTCCAGGTTTCTCAGATGAGAGATGAAGAAGTGGCTTTGATAAACCAACTAACTTTGGTAGAAACACTGTGGACAGAAGAGCTGAAGGTTCTCCAGGCCTCTGCTGAGACCCTAACCGGTTTGCAAACAGCTTTTACGTAACTTCACCGAAGTGCAGGTGATCACCTCCAATGGTGGGTGTGACTTCTTAAACATTTTTAAACTAAGGTTTATTTTATACAGAATCATTTACAGTCAATCAACGGTTTCTATTAAACAGTTATCTGCTTAATCCTATTCCCCTGCTTCTGTCTGTCTGTGGGGAGGAGTGGTGGCTGCTTGGGGACGTCGAAGGGCATCTGTAGGGGCAGAGCAGGTCCTGGGGACTCCGTCCCATCAGCATTTCTGTTGCTGTCAAAGCAAATAGCAGTCCTGGAGGAAGACGTCCCAGGAACGAATGAATTGTCACGGGAGGGCGAGGCTGGGAGGGGGCCGGGGTCAGCCCGGGGCCCCGTTTGTGGTCTTCCTCTGGGTGTCCTGCTTCTTACCTGACTCAGCGGCCGTAAGAGCACAAGACGTCGTGCTGCTCTGTGCTCTGATGCCAGCGGGTTAGGGTTGAGGGGCATGTAGCATGTGGCGGTGAGTGGCTGGGTGGCTTCGGAGGGGGCAGTGTGGGGCGGTGCCCAGCCGGCTTGGCTCCCAGCCGGGCTCCGCCCCCGCCGCTCTGAGCTAGAGCAACTCACTTTGAATCTTCTGTCCTTGACTGCCCATCTGGAAACGAGATTGTTACGGGGGTCCCCTGTGCTCCCACCTAGCAGCAGGGCCTGTGGCACAGGCCCCGGTGGGGCTGCCGCTCCCCGTCTGCGCCTCCCCTGTCCGCTGAGGACCAGGGATTAGCTCACGGGGAGGGCCCCTCCAGCCCTGACCAGCTGTGATTTCTGTGCGCAGAAAGCGAGTTCGTCCTTGTCCAACAGGAGACTCGTGGAGCCTCACCAGTCCTCCCGCTGTTTACAGTTTCCCAGAATGTGTTCAGATCTCTGTGCAGCCCGTGTCCCTTTCCCATGCTTTGTGGTGGGTGTTTAACCCTTTTATTCTGCTCCTTTTCTTCATTTTAATGGGGGTATTGGGAGGAATAGGAGATAAAGTTTTGTGCTCACTTGGTCATTTTGAATTCAGCCTTTGCTTTCCTTTTTTTTCTTTTTCTTTTTTTTAAAAAAAGACAATACAAGCCCTTTAGGCTGTTGACGGCACTCTGAGTATGGGTTTTATATAAAGTGTGCTCTAATTAGTACTTTTTAGATCTTGGCTCTGGATTTAAACTTCTCACAGCGCTTTCATGCCCGTCAGTTAACAACTGTGAGGGGGTCAGAGCGGGTGTCATATATCCCAGAAGCAAATACGTGCTTATTATAAAAACTGGACGTTGTTGAAACATACAGCAGTAACGTTTATTAAACGTTAGCGTCGCCGGGTCGAGGCCCTGTGCTCGGGCTTGGTGCGCGGAGTTTTACGGAAGCCTCACAGCCGCCCTATTTTACAAACAAAGACCGGAAGAAACGGCCGGAAATCCCACACCTAGCGTGTGGCAGAGCGACGGTGCCTCTCAGCTGACCCGCTGGGGGACACGGGTCACAGCTCGGGGGCGTCAGTGTCCGGAGTTCCGCGCTCTCCTGACTCGGGTACGTGCCTCTCCTCCATCCTCACCGACGGCCGCGCTCCTCGCCCACCGGCCTTGGTGGGCGCGCGGCTTCACTGCAGGTTATGTTGGGGAGTCCGCGACAGGGTCGGCCTCGCTCTCGCCGCCCTGCGATGTGAGAGCGGGGATGAGAAACATCCCGGGAGCCGGTCCCTCCTCCTGCTGTCGTGGCCGCGCCCGGTCCCACCGCCCTCCCCGGGAAGGCGCGAGCGCACAGGCGCAGCGTGGCTGGTCCCGGGGCGGAAGAGGGTCCTGCCCGGGGAGCGAGGGGCTGGCCTCTGTGCTGCGTGAAGCCAGCGGCTCGGCCTGCGTGCCTTCCCGGCGTGGACGCATCGAGCTGGCCGTTGCAGGAGGCTTCTGGGGATTTCCAGGAGGACGGGGCGGGTCTCCGCACCTCGCTGGGCAGGGATTACGTGACTGCCAGTTTGGGAAGAAGGGCTGGGCCCCCTGCGTAGCTCTTTCCGCTTCGCCCCTGGGGGAACCCAGCTCCACCCAGCTAAGCCGTGCCTCAGTGGGGACGTCTTCTTGATTCTGGGCCTCTGTGTAGGGAAACTGACCTAAGGCTATGGCTATATTTTGACCTCTGTCCTTACCTAGGAGTATTTTTTATCCTTTTCAGAACTAGCGTGGGAAGGGGGTGTATACGCTCCTCAGGCCTCGGGGATCCCTGAATGGGTCATGGGGGGTGGGGGCTGCCCCAGCCCCGGCGTTTCTGTTGCCCAGAGTCCTGTCTTCCCTGCCCTGTTTTCAGCCTTCCCCAGAAGCGAATTCCTCTCGTGAAGCTCAACAAAAAGCAAGTGAACGGAGCCCACTCACCTCCGGGATCAGACTTAGAAATAAAACATCTTCATTATTGTATCTTGAGCATCTCTCCCTGTTCATAGATGCAGTTGAGGTTGACTTTGTTGTTGTTGTTTTAAAGATTTTTTTGACGTGGACCATTTTTTTAAAAGTCTTTATTGAATTTGTTACCATCTTTGCTTCTGTTTTACGTTTCCGTTTTTTGGCCACGAGGCGTGTGGGATCTTAGCTCCCTGACCAGGGATCGAACCCGCACCCCCTGCATTGGAAGGCGAAGTCTTAACCATTGGACCTCCAGGGAAGTCCCCCCTTACTCTGCTTTTTAATAGCTGTAGTGTGTTTCATGATACACTCTACCACGGGTTCACCAGCTTTTTCTGTAAAGGACCAAATAGTACATGTTTGAAGCTTTCTGGGCCATGTGGTCTTTGGCCCAGTTGTAGAGCACAGCAGCTGTAGGCAATGTATAGACACGCATGCCTGTGTTTCAGTAAAGCCTGATTTGCCAAGACAGGCCACGAGCCGTGGGGTGCTGACCCTGCACTACAGCACCATTTATTTTTCCTGTCCCCTATTCGTGGACATTTAGGACCTAAATATATTAATTCTTACTTGAGAGTGCTTTATACCTTTAGAAATTAAAGCCCCTTGCCCCCCAACAGGAAAAACTTCTCAGGCACATGTGGGACTTATGCTTTAGTTGTCCGTGGTTAGAAAAAATGAGCAATGACAAGAAGCAACTACTCAGAGACATTGACAAATGAGAGCTATTTCATCATCCATGACAGATCTACCCTTATTTGTAAACAGCAGTATAATAAGGGCCTACTGTGTAGCACGGGGGACTCTACTCAGTGCTCTGTAATGACCTATATGGGAAAAGAATCTAAAGAAGAGTGGATATATGTATATGTGTAACTAGCACAACATTGTAAATTAACTATACTCCAATAAAAATTAATTAAAAAAAAAAGAAAACAGAAGTATAAGACTTACAGTTTGCAGATGACCCTTGGTGTATAAATGCATTCAGACTCCTTGCAAGAAACGCGTGGCTCCTGTGGACAGCCTGGCCCTCAGGGCGAACCCCAGGGAGGCCACACACTGCGGCCCTAGGCCTGTCCTTGCCAGTCAGTCCCTGTGAGGGCCAGCACCCCGCGTCTGCCCACACAGGGGGGCAGCCTGCACTGTCCTTTACCAGCAGAACTGTTTGCTCCCTTCTCCCATGTACCGCCTCTCCCCCCCACTGCCATTGTTCTCCTTCCCCCTTTTTTGTTTTCTCTCTCCCAGGCCTTGGGCGGGCCTGCGGTTTGTAGTACACCCATCCTTGTTGGTATCTGGCTCCGGAGTCTGTGGGTGGTAAACCTCCAACCGCTGCCTTGGCCTGAGGGGACAGACACCAAGAAGTGAGGGATGATGAGGCATTCCTGAAATCTTTCAAGATAAAAATAGAGGAGACTCTCCTCCGACTGGGGCACTTTAAGTGCTTCTGCCCGAAGGTGGAGACTGCTAATGACCTTTCAGGAAATCAGTGCTGTAATGCTGTGACAATGGCTTTCACTGAAACACCTGGACACCCCCTTGGAGGGGAGTCCGGGCACAGAAATGGGCGACTTATTTTAGCTCCTCCTTTAGTTGGTAAACCGCAGCTATATTCTGTGATAGATTAGTGTTGGGCAGCAGTAAGTTTTGTCCTGAGGAGGAAAGTATAACAAAACCTATTTTGGGTTGTCAGCTGACATTTGAATATAGAACTTTGTCAGGAATGCCACCATGTTGGTTTACTTGGAAAAGAGCTTTGTTTTACAGGTCCAGGAAGTTACATGTGAATTAAAGGGAACAAGAAGATTAGGAGGAAGGCCTGATGCACTTTTCCACATCCCTGCCAATGTACCACACACACCAGTGTCATTGTATCACATACACCAGGGTCATTGTACCATAGGCAACAATGTCATACCACATACAACAGTGCAGTGTACCACATACAACGGTGTCATTGTACCACATACAACGATACAATGCGTCATGTACAGCAGTGCCATCTGCTGTCTCTCCAGGGCTGTTCCCGCTCACCTTGCAGAGGGCATTTCTCTGTCTTCATCATTTTGTTGTAACCTTTCCTTGAGGGGATATTTTCTTGTTTAATTTCCTTCTGTTCCATGTAGTTTTAACATCAGGCTATGAGTAAAATTAAAAAAAAACTGCTCACAGAAACATAGTAAGATTTAAGAAAAATGTAAGGTTACTGCTTCACACCCACTAGCACAACAATCATAAGAAAAGTGGATAATAACCCGTGTTGTTGAGGATGTGGAGAAATTGGAACCCCACACACTGCTGGTGGGAAAGGAAGATGGTGTAGCTGCTTTGGAAAATAGTTTGGCAGTGGCTCAAGAGGTTGATAAGCATAGAGTTATTTTATGACCCAGCCATTCCCCCTTTAGGTACACACCCAAGAGAATTGAAAACATATGTCCACACAAAAACATGAGCATGAATATTCATAGCAGCATTATTCATAACAGCCCCAAACCCAGATGTCCATCAGTGGGTGAACGGATCGATAAACAAAATGTGGTCTTCCCATAAAAGGGAATATCATGCAGCCATAGAAAGGAATGAGGCACCAACACATGCCACACGGATGGACCTTAAAAACGTTATGCTAAATGAAAGAATCCAGCCACAAGAGGC